AGTTTGAACTCAAGATACACGTTATATTAGTATAAGACGATGGTCGTAAGTAATATGTTTAATTTAATAACTAATAGGTCCAATAATTAAAAGGTAAGTTAGTGGAATATGAATTAAAATATATTAGGATTAATTAAATGTATTGAATGTTATATAGTTGGAGAAATTTAAGGTATGACCAAAAAAGAAAGAATTAAACGAAAGGGTCCAAACAACTTTTATAGGTAGATTTTTTAGGACTCTTTTTCTTTTAATAGTATTGATATTCGAAACCCTAAGATATAGATTACATTCATTATTTGCATGAGATTCTAAGCATATGAATTCTTAGGTAGGTTTAAAAAATTGTTATAAACTGCTATGAATTCGTACATGCACTCCATTGCCAAGAAAGTGCCTCAAGTTCCGAGTGTAGGGATTATACTCTTCTTCATTGATTTCTTACTCTCAAAAGTTGAATTATCATTGTAGAGTTTTTCCGTGTCCATCCAAAATCACGTACTTAAATCTATAAGAACTATATAAATCATACTAAAACATTTGAATATATAACAAAATGTACGTTAATATGAACATCATAACCCCAATCACAGCCCAATTGATGCGATCCAGAAAATCCCGTTAGGGTTGTAGGAAACCTTAACTGGGTTCCTCTAAATAACAATTTTCCTCGATTTTTATTCTCCAAGCGTTGAAACTTGCAAAGATCGACTCATCAAGAAGATCTAAGAGTGTGTCGTCACCACCACCGTGTTCAGATCCGAGATCAACTAGTAAACAATTGATACTCGCCGGAGGTAACCCAGAACCACCACTTCAATCTAAGTTTTGTAGCTGGTTAGTAAATTGTTAATAACTCTTTAACCGTACCGTTTTCATGAATCCAAGGCCATCATCGTTTTTTTGACGTCGAGACGAGTTTGGAGTAGAGATATCAACCAGAGACGACCGTTCACGCGCCCACACATGCCAACACTCTCCTTCGCTGCCGAATGTGTGTGACAGGTGCCGCCATCCTCCGCTGTACTCACATCGCGTTGATCTAACGAGCCAACGTCATGTGCCGTAGATCAGCCGTCGCCTTCCTCTCGTCGCTGGTGCCGTAAACTGCTATCGCAGAACAAGATAAATATAAGTCTCAAAGGATACCGGTAGTGGCACGAAATTGGAGTGCTAAATAATTTCTCTAATTTCTATTTGTTTTTTACTTGGTTTGTTTATTTTTCTGCTGCAAAATAACCTAGTATATTCAAAACATTAAGGTATAGATTACATTCAATATTTGCATGAGATTTTAGGCATAGGTAGGTTTATAAAATTGTTATAAATTGGCATGAATTTCTACATGCACTCCATTGCCAAGACAACGTCTCATATTCTTAGTGTCGGGATGATATTATCTCCATTGATTTCTTACTCCGAAAAGTTGAATTGTTCTTCTAGAGTTTTTACATGTCCATCCACAACTACTGAAGAGTGTGTTATGTATCCATGATGCATCTATCATACATCTCTTATAGATTGTGACTTGTTCAGAAGAGCGTCGCTCTGCTAGTATTCCCTAACCTTTTTCTTTGTTATTTCTTTAAAAGAAGCTTGTATAATTTATCTCTCCATGTTGTTAAGGAGATGGACGAACACGTGCAACACAATAACAAAATCATCAATTTTTGACTTGGATATTTCTTTGTTTTTTTCTTCTTTGGGTCTGAGAATAAACACAAAAATATGTTCGACAGGTTATGTTCTTCAGTGATGGGAGACAGAAACATATGCAATTGTATCATGGAATTTTGAAACGCCATGAGAACCTTCACCCTATGGAACGTTTACAGAATCAAGGAAACAATGTTTCGCCTATTTAAACCCATTTTTCTTTCTAAATTCATGTATTGGTATTTTATATTTATCAATTTATTTATGCAAATACTTTACAGTTATTCAATCCGTTTATTGTAGAATTTGGGTTCCTACAGTATACTGATATACTCTATCTTATGTGTCATCAAACTTTTTGGACAAACGGATTCAAACTTTAGAGAGTGTTGTCGGCATCTTTTTAGTTCATTGGAGACTCTTGCCTCTTTCTTCGTATTGATCAAAACAGAGTCGACATTTTTGTAGGCATCTTTAATCTCTTCTTTTGACTATTTTGCTTCATTTTGGAAAAATATAGTGGATGTATTTGTTATTTGAGATTCTTCAGAAAGATCAGTGAATCAGGGAGCATGTGTGTGTGTATATATAAAAGGTAGCCTTTAGACCATCTCCCATCCACCTCTATTTTCATTTTTATGTTTTTCCTTTTAAAATAGAAAATCTCTATTTTTTTTTTTAACATCAAAAGGTTATTTTATTATTCAAACTTGAGGTGATCTGAGAATCCAAACCGGAATAGAACAACCAACAAAAACGAATTGACTATAAAAATTACGAGTAACCCTAGCTAAACCATCTGCAGTCCGATTTTGCGTTCTTGGTACGTAGGAGATCTTAAAGTCTGGAAGTATGTCCTTCAAAAGAGAGAACTCTCCTAGTTCTGTGGAGTAGCTTGGCCAGTCCTTCGAGTTCTGAATCATTGCCATAACATTCTTGCAGTACGTCCTAAAGTGTTGACAGTTGCTATTCTGGATCATATTCTCCATTGCCCACATCAAGGCCTCTAACTCGGTATGCGAAGAAGACATACGGTTTTCTTTGTTTCTTAGGCCTAAGAGTTGTTCCTTTCATGACCCGTCCATCCAAACCCATCCATATCCACTACATTCTGCTTCCGCTGTCCATGAAGCATCCACTAAGCAAATGTCTCGCAAGCTTAGGGCTTGCATATCCATGTGTGTTGTCCGATATGTTTCTGTGGTTTTGGCATTTGCTTCAAACCAAGCCTTTCGTTCACTTTATGCATGTCTCACCAATTCACGCGGATCTCTTGAGATGCCTCTGAAGAGTACCATTTTGTGCTTTCCATAGGAACCAAATGATCCATAGATAAGGGTCCTTGTCTAGTTCAAGGTCTTCAATCTCATTTTTTTCTCCAAAACAGGTAGTCTATGTTTGTGAATATGCTCATTGTTGGAAAGGTTCCCGGGCATGAGGGTGTCGAGGCAAGGACCCATGTTTGCAAAGCCGGTACACATTCGAAAATAACATGGTTAGCAGATTCATCTGGTTCACCACATCTTGGGAAATCATTGTCGCAATCTATATGACGTCTTTTTAAGTTTCTTGTGACCGCTATATAACCAGACACAAGCTTCCATATAAGATGCGGATCTTATGTGGAGCTTGGATCTTCCAAGCAAAAAACTTCAAGCTGGTTATACTTGGTTCCTCTACCATTTCTTCAACCTCGCGGTTCAGAATGTTTCTCGCGACCAAGTATCTTGATTTCACCGTATATATCCCATGTTGAGTATAACTCTATCTATACCTATCATCTCTATGGGATTGGCTTATCGCCAAACTCCGGATGAGTGGAATGTCTTCCTGAACAATAAGATTCTCCACCATCTCCACATTACATACCTTTGGGGAGCCATGGATCAGATCACTGACTATCATTCGCGGTTGGATTAATTGCTCGAGCCGGTCTAGCCGGGACCGATGGTATCCACGAATCTTCCCAAACACGTATTTGGTACCATGAATGAACTTTTTGATTAATTTCCAACATTAAAAGAGGTTTGACAGCATGATGCCCAATGCATGCCTCGTTTAGACGGATTCGAGCTCCACCAAATTTAGCAATCACACTTGTTAATTTATCACATATCTTCAATGGAAAAGGAAAATCTCTATTTTTTTTTTTTTTTTTTTTTTTGACAACGAAAGGCTGATCTATTACTCAAGCTTGAGGTGGTCTGGGAATCCAGACCGGAATAGAACAACCAACATACATGAGATTTCGATAGAATGATCGGGCAGTTTTAGCTAGATGATCGGATACAGAATTGAGAGACCGAGGAACATAAGAAATCTTAAAATCTGGGAAACAAATCCTCAGCGTCGAGATCCTCTCCAGTTCCTTCGAAAAGCTTGGCCATCCATGGGGATCCTTGAGCATTGCTAACAATTCCTTGCAGTCCGTCCCAAAGCTCTGACATGGCGAATATTGAAGCATGTTCTCCATTGGCCACCGCAGCGCTTCCAGCTCAGAATGCAAAGCCGACTCCACTCTACTCACATTCCGCAACCCCATCAGTTGACTATTTCCCATGCTGTCCTTCCAGTCCCAACCACAACCAGAAAATTGATCCATAGAGGTCCAAGAACCATCTATTGTTGACTATTTCCCATGCAATTGTTTCGTCCGGTTCTCCGCATCGTGGGCAAAAGTTGTCGCATCTCATGTGTCTGTGATTCAACGCACTCGTGACAGCCACCTGTCCCGATATAATCTGCCACATAAGTTGACACATTTTCGGGGGAGCTTTAACCTTCCAAACTTGTGCTTGAAGCCTTTTAAAGCTAGGTTCATCTACCAAGTCCTTATCCTCTTTCATCAGTATATTACGAGTTACCCAATAGCCGGACTTGACTGTATACTGCCCACTCCTAGTGTAACTCCAGCAATGTGTGTCTCGCCGATGGGTCGAACTAATAGCTATACTCCTTATGAGAGGTATATCAGCAGCGTCAACATAACTTGCCAGCCGCTCCAGATCCCAAGACTTTGTTTCTTGATTAATGAATCTCTATTATAGAAGTGAATTTGCTCTAATGTATACTTTTATTATCGAGTTCCTCTATTTATAGAAGAAAATATAGAGATATGATATTTTCAGGTATACATTGGAACAAATCTACCTCTATTATAGAAATCTCTATTTTAAAAAATAATATATATATATAGAAACATACATCGGAGATGCTAAAACACATAGTAATGCTGAGGATTTAATAATCAGAACCCATTGTGAGATTTAGTAATGCTGAGGATTTAATAATCAGAACCCATTGTGAGATTGGTGATTTAAAAACACAAACACACCTCCAAATTTGCCTCCATAACATTTTAAAGAATGTGCTTATATAATTAAGCTTGGAACAACAATACAACTTTCTCAGGTATTATGTTTTGATACAGGAAATCAACATCAGTACATTTGCATCATACTCAAAAAAAAAAGCGAATCAAGAGGAAGGAAAAAAAAATTAACAACAAAAAAATAAGACTGCCCCAATTGCTGCAATGTCTACAAAGACGCAGTGGTGGGTAATCCGAGAGAATACAAACGCTATCGACAACCGTCTTGCTCCAACTTGGGCACCATTTACGTGCCTTTTAATGAACGCACATGCTTGCTTCATCTTTCTGGGGACTCATGAAACAACACAATCACAAAATATAATCACAGTTTTTTTTTTCAAAAGAGTTCTTCAGAGTTGAACTTGTTCCATGCTTCCTGTTAATTGCCAAGAGGGGAAAAAAGGATGAAGCCTGTAAATGTGGAAAGAATCTACAAACAGTGCGGTTCTAGTTACCCGTGCGAGACGCAATCTAACTGAATAATAAATTATGTTAATGTTGATGTTGATGGCAGCTATTGTAGCAGTAATGGTGTAAAATGGTAAACTCATTACCTTGAGCATGTCGAACACTTTCTCGGCAATGTATTTCTGCTGGAGATTAGCGCCCTTTTGCTGAACTTTGTCAGGATGTATACAGAGAGTAGCCTTCCTGTAAAATTTCTTGACAGAAGCACCGGTAATTAAATCGGTCAATGAAACAGGCTGCCAGCCACACTCTGGCCAAAGAACCTGTAAATTTCACAAGAGATTGTAAGAATCACAACATCATAGGTACAAGTGAAAATCAATACAAGAAGTTTAGAAAATGGACAATAGGACATACATATTGTAACGTCGAAAGCAAGGCACGCAAGTTTCCCTCCTTCCCCGCACCCCAACGTTTTATCTCAGCATCCAGAGTCTCACCGATTCTCTGAAATCCAGGATTAAGTATGATGATTAAACAAACAAACAAGAAAAATCCAGTGCAATCCATGATGTAGTGTCTCAGACTTGAGAGATGAATAATAAAAATAACACAGATCGTGGCACATTNGAAAGCAAGGCACGCAAGTTTCCCTCCTTCCCCGCACCCCAACGTTTTATCTCAGCATCCAGAGTCTCACCGATTCTCTGAAATCCAGGATTAAGTATGATGATTAAACAAACAAACAAGAAAAATCCAGTGCAATCCATGATGTAGTGTCTCAGACTTGAGAGATGAATAATAAAAATAACACAGATCGTGGCACATTTTTTTCAACGTTATCTCAACAAACCAACATTACATGCGATTAGGAATAACAGATGAGGGAAAGTAAAAAAACCCAGATGAAAAGAAAAGAAACAGAATCACACACTAACGAAACTTACATTTCTCTCTGCTTGTTCTCTTTGTACTTGAAGATCCCGATCATTTTTCTCAGCAAGTGCTTTCGCCTGATTCGGAAAAGAATTCATGTCACAAACACTCAACGGATTATTATTAGATACAAAAACCATTAACGAGAACCGATTTAACAACTCTGTTGATACTTACAGCTCGCTCCTGTGTCCTCTGGTGGCGTTCCAGCCGGGCACGCCGTCTCTCTTCAGTTTCGCCTTCAACATCTTGAAACCCACCAGACTGGGTTGCTGAAGCTTTACAAGGAAGGAGGATTCAGTACGAGACCATTTTAAAAGACTTGAAAAAAGGTGCATAGGAACAGAAACCACAGAAATTCCAATACCTCCAAATATTGAACTGAGATCATCAACAATGTTTGTAGCCGAAGAGGTCTTCCTCAGGTTCTCGGATGCTCCAGAAGGCACTCGCGAAGATGCCCTGCTAGATTCGAAAGACCCTCCCTTGTTCCATGAATCCTGGAAAGGATCCTGAAATACAGCTTAACTTATAAGAAAAAGACGAATGTCATGTAAAGAACATAAAGCAGAACGGAAGTAGTAGATATCAAATCTGACCGGAGGGTTGGTTCTCTGTCGCGGAGCACTGCTGGGTCTGGAAACCGAGTTAAAGAAGGAGTCAAGATCATTGTTATTCTCTTGCTGCTTAGCTTTAGCTTGGGCAGCTGCCCTTGCACGTGCCTCAGCAGCTGCCCTTTCAACAGCAGCTCGTTCTGCCCTAACCCTTGCTTCCTTCTCCCTTGCTTCAGCATTTGCCCTTTCTCTAGCTTCTGCGGCAGCTCTCTCGGCCTTCTCCCTTGCCCCTGCAGCTGCTCTTTCTCGCGCTTCAGCATGAGCTCTCTGAACAGCTGCTCTTTCTGCACGTTCTCGGGCATCGCTAGTAGCCTTTCCAACAGCAGCTCTTTGAGCTTTCGCATGTGCCTCAGAGGCTGCTCTTTCGCGTGCTTCCCTTGTAGCCCTCTCTACCGCCTGTCTAGCCAACAGCCTTTCCTTTTCTTTCTCAATTCTTTTCTGCTCCCTCTCCTCTCTTTCCCTTTCCTGGGCTTTCTCCATCTCTACCCTTTCACGATCCAATCTCACTTGCTTTTCTCTAAGTTCCCTTTCCTGAGAATCATAATTCTCCATTGGATGGCCTTCTCTACTTCTACTTGCTCTCAAATTGTCTTTCTCTCTCCTTTCCTTAGCGTGCCTAAACTTGGCTTCTGCTTTATCCATGGCATCCTTCATGGCGGCAGCTGATGCAACAGCAGTAGAGAAAACATCTGATTCTTCACAAGAGGGAGAGCCGGGAAGTCCATTAGGGGCAGTATGATTTCTTCCCATAGAAAAACCATCGAGATCATCCATTTGAGAAGCTGTGGGGGTATTTGCAGAAGTTGTAGCTGAGGTACGAACGTGTGAGTTGTTAGTGGAAGTCGGCTCATTAACCTTCTTTTTCATAGGACGTGTAGGTCTGGGTGGTGGAGGTCTGGAAGGTGGGGGAGCACTTGTAGGTAGCGTAAAAAGGGGGATCTCAGAAACAGTAAGCCACACATCATCAGATGAGTCAAAACTTCCATCTGAATGGAGTGATTTGTTTTCATATAGTGGAGAAGTAGGCTGAGGAAGAGTTGTGGAAAAAGTATTGTGCGGCTCATCAAAAGAAACTTTCTTACCAGGTGAGTGAGGAGAGCCACTGAGGTTTGCAGGTCTCAAGTGACTAGTTTTCATATCGGACTTTGCAAGACTATCGAAATCAACAAAGACTCCTCCAGGATCAGTTTTCGTGGTGTTGAAATTACCAATATCCTCCAATGGATCAGTGAAGGCAGGGGTCCCCTCAAAGACTACAAATGGATCGGAAGATGTTTTGGGTGTGCGAGAAGGAGGTTTCTGAGATTGACCAGTCTCTGAAGTTGGCCTGTTGCAGAAAACAAAAATATTTTAAGAAAAAGGAAAAAAAAATCAAGCCTTTGAAGCCACTTGAGTTCCACGGTAAACTATTAATCAGCAAACAACTCTACATAACAATTGGAAAACCTTGTATGCATGCATTAATTTGTACCTAAAACACTACAAGGTTATTAGCTAAGAGAAATGAAAAGTTACTTTTTGGGCGGAGGAGGGGAGCTGGGGCGGCCAAACCCAGGAATCAAGTCATCAAAAGCGGAGGAGCTACCCTTCTCCTTCTCCTTCTCCTTCTCCTTCTCCTCTGGTTGCCCCAAATTCCCAATCAAATCATCCAAGGGAGAACTGTTTTGTTTCCTGTGCTTTGGAATGGAAGAGAAAAGGTCATCAAACCTGGTTGATTGAGAACTCGATGGGGGGTTTTTAAGATCAGGGATAGCTTCAAACACATCATCATCATCATCGTCATACACAGGCTTGTCATAGACAGGCGATTTGGGTGCCTTGAACATAGCATCGTAGTCAAAGGACGGCATAGGAGGAGGAGGAGGCTGAGAACGTGAATCTTTAAAGACATCGTTGAATAGCGGATCATCACCATCCCGACTCAGATCGTCGAATACAGGCGACGAATCAGACTTCTTCCTCCCCGAAGCGTTCCCGAAGCTGTAGGATGACGCGAAACTGCTGTAGTCAGCCGCGGGCGAGTTTGCCTTAGGGCCGGCCATCGGAGCAGATTTTCCCTGCGGCTTCAACCCCAAGTCTCTCGTTAAAAGGCCTGTGAAATCCTCCATCTGATTACCACCTCCTTCACAGATCCTACGATGACTTTCCTCAGATCTCAGTGTCCATCAACGATTCGGATCAAAATTTCTGAATTGGTCCAGATCTCAAAACAACACCTCTCTTCTTCTTCTTCTTCCGACTCATACATGTTCCCACTCTCCATTATTATTATTTTTTTTTTATTAATTTGGGTCCAATATTCTCACATATCTACACTCCGCTCCCATAAATTCTACAAACTCATAACAACTCCTTTTCTTTTCCAATTTAAACCTTCTCCCCCCCCCCCCCTTCCTTCCTTTTTAGATGTACAAGTTTGAATAATCTTTCTTTTCTTATAAACCTAACTTACTTTCATATTTATTCAAACAAAAATCAACTCATAATTTCTAAACTAATCCGAGAAAATGAATTTCTCTCATTTTACACTGCACCAAACCAAATAGGAGTAAATCGAGTAGTTTCCCATCTTTAGAATAAATCAAAAAATGTTGTGGATTCTTTTTTCCATTTACAATTTCATCTTCTTAACTTAATATTTATTTAATTATATTTTAATTTCAATATATTATGTATTATTATTTAGATTATATATCTATTCAATCAATTTTATTAAGATGTATATACAGTTTTTTTTTTTATTTAAAACTTTTGAAATATAACCCAACCCCCCCCCCCCAAAAAAAAAACTTACATATAATTCTAATCAAATTAAAATGAGCCAATTAACAAAAACAAATATTTGAGTAGCCTAACTTTAAAATTATAACTAGTTTATTTGATACGTAACATTAACAAATTCCAGTTAAATATAGAATTATTTTTGGACGTCGAGAGCCTAACACTGTGTGCTACCCTATCCATCCTTATATCATGCGTTCGTGGAATATGGATGATCGCCACATCTGTGACGCTCTCTTTTACGATTTGTATGTCTTTCAAATATGGTGTAACGACATATCGTTCTTCTGGTTCTAAAACCATATTCGCCAGTTGTGAAAAATATGTCGCAAAAGTAACCTGAAATTGACGTAAATTCCTCATTCTTTCTGTTGCCCAAATGACTGCTTCTATTCTGAATGTAGAGGGAAACGAGCCACACGAGTATTTCTTGCTCCCATGAGTCCTTCGAACCCTCCAATGTATTATACCATCCTTGTCTCGAATAAATTTCACCCTCCTTCTATGAACCATCCGTGAAACACCACCGACCATGTCTTTGCGTNTTGACGTAAATTCCTCATTCTTTCTGTTGCCCAAATGACTGCTTCTATTCTGAATGTAGAGGGAAACGAGCCACACGAGTATTTCTTGCTCCCATGAGTCCTTCGAACCCTCCAATGTATTATACCATCCTTGTCTCGAATAAATTTCACCCTCCTTCTATGAACCATCCGTGAAACACCACCGACCATGTCTTTGCGTAAATGATGTAGAGGTCCTCAGGCTATGGGGTTGATGATTTCTCTGCATTACTTTTGCTTGTGCGTCATTCCCTAATGTAGCCTCTGTTACAGCCAACTGTAGTGTATCTCTGAAATCCATGTCATGTTGATGAAAACCACATCATTCCTGCATTTTCAAAATATACCATAAAATCCATACAAAGTGATGATTGTCCACCTGTGATGATATTCTCCAGAACCAATAATCCATATTGGCGTATATTGATTGCAAGGGCAAGTTACTTGGGTTCGTAGGAACCGATGATACGGCCCATATTTTCACAACCGGAAGACACTCAAACATATTATGATTTGGGGTTTCCCCCTCTGCCTCGCACCTCGCACACTGCAACTCACATTGAATAACTCGTGAATATATGTTCCTTTACCGATAAACAACCAGAAACAATTTGCCATAAGAAATGCCTAATATTGGGAGGACAACTTATTTTTCAAGAATATGCCTTCAACACTGTGGTTGTGGGCCCGATAACTCGTTGTGTCCTGATAGTGTCAGGATTCATTCGCTCCACTTGATAACTAGGTTTCATCGTCTATTGGTCATTTTTTGTATAATGCCAACCATCTCGATCAATACTCTGGTATTGACTCAAAGGTGAACTCTCAATTATCTTTGCATCCTCCTAATCAACCAATTCATCAATAACAGGAGTGTTCCAAGTCCTTGTTGTCGTATTAATAAGATGATCCATTGTAAAATCAGGAAAAAGGTTGTTTGATTCAATATTTGTTGGTTTTAGGTGAGTGGTTGGGATCTAACCGTCATTCCTTGAAATGGAAGATCATGTTCCTACCCTTTTGATTAGTCTTTTGCTAACCATTGATCTAGCTGATACGATACTATGATATCCATAATAAGGTGGGTACGATCTAATCACTTCTAAAGGTGATACTTTTATGAAATACCGACCTTTGAAAACTCAAGCAAATAAAGTGTTTGGCCTCTCTTTCAGTCGCCAAAACTGTTTCCCTAACATTACCGTGTTGAAATTCTTTAAATCCAAATCCTCCATCATCCTTGTGCTGACACAATTTATCCCATGATTTCCAATGTTTATCTCTTACATCTCCACCTTAGCTCCACCAAAATTGGGCAACTCCACTAGTCAATTTCTTCGTTGATAGTGAAATTCTATAACAAGACATGACATAGTTTGGAAGGGTTGTGAGCACAGATTTTATGAGCACCTCTTTGCTTCCTTTTGGAAACAAATTGAATGTCCATCCATTAACATGGTTATAGAATCTTTCCTGAACAAAAAAAAATGTGTGTGTGTTTTAACCTCTAAGACTTTCTAAGATTTCCAAATAAGATCTCATCCCTCTAATAATTTGGATGCCTAATGTGTTATGTAGGTCTTGCCGAGTTGTCTTGCTATCTTGTGGCCGAACTGGATTTCTGAAAATTAATATGTTAACTAGATATTATCTCATAATCCTTCAAAATTCAAAAAATAGTCTGTCACTTCTCTATATGTGCTTTACCAAAAAAAGACTGTCGTCGCAGATGAGATATGGGTGGGCATGTCCTTGTGACTTTTAATCATGTTAACTGTTTTATCCTCTCTTCTTTCTTAATGTTACCAATCAACGCTCGCGTGCATATAATGAACACGTATGGAGAAAGTGAGTCACCTTGCCTAAAACCTCTTTGTGGGATAATGAGCTCTTTTGGTTCTCCATTTAATAAAACTTTATACCGAACTGAAGATATGCATTTCATCATCAATTGAACCCACCAAGAGTCAAACCCCATCTTTGCAAGTACTGCTTGTATAAATCTTCATTCTATTCTATCATATGTTTTGCTCATATTTGTTTTTACTACCAAAAACTTATTCTAACAAGCCTTATTTGTCCGTAACTGATTAAACATTTTGACCAATAATGATATGGCCCAATATTAAGCGTTTTGTGACGAAATCATATTGAGTTTCCGAAACTGGTAAGTATCTCTTTAACCGTTGACATAAAAAGTTTGAATCTATACTATTAAAGCAGAATTCTTCTTACGATTATGCCCCTGAATTTTCTAATTAATTACAAAAGTTGCGAAAACTTTTTTCTCTTCTTTTCTATAGATTTCTAAAATTTAAACCCCAATCAACTAAACAAAACAACCCAATCAATGGAAAAAAATTATCCATCTAAAAACAATTGCCTATTTCGTGTATGTTTCACCTCTAACCCATTTAAATTCGTTTCTTTTCTAACCCTATACCTTAAAACTCTATTCAAACCCTAACTCTATTCAAACCCTATTATCACCATCAAAAACCTGTTGTCCATTAAACTATACCAAATTTTCGAATGACATCATTTAATTTAATATTATTTTCGATACTATTAGTTATAATATTATAGTATAGCATTTTTCGAAATCATTGACCTTTTAAAAAACCATTAATATAAAGATAAACCAAATTTTGCATATTCCACCAATTATCCGAGGCAAGTCAAATAAATTCCAAGAATATTCTATATGACATCCATTTTCATAATTACTAAATACAATAAATTCAAAAGAGAATATATAGAAACAAGATTTTCCAAAATATATAGGAACAACCTTTTTCGAATATACCTAAATTAACTTGATGAACACGCAGAGAATATTTTATACATGACATGGTAACTGAATTTTTCTGAATCTATACTATTAAAACAAAATCTTTCTTAGAATTATGTCCTTGATTTTTAAGAAGATTACAAAATCATACCACTAACTTCTATTTATTAAAGTTAAAGAATCAAATATTCCCTATATCAATGGGAACTAATAATTTCCATATTTTTGTCAAAGGTAATAATTTTGATTTTATGCCAATTATACTTGCCATTTAATTTGAATATTATTTTTTGTAAATAATAATATTAAAAGATCGAATATAGGTAGATACATGAAGTTTTTAAAAAAAATATTATTTACTATGTATGTTTATACATAATATTAATATGGCAATTTTAGTGTTTAAAAATAATTTAAAACTTTTCATAAAAAATTAGTTTTAGATCTAAAATAAATAAAAATATAAAAATATAAAAATAACATAGGTTATTAAAAATGAAAGGAAACTAATATTGTCATATGAAAAAAAATTGTCTTTTTCTATTACCATTGTTTCATTTTCTTCAAATAGCATAAGAAAAATTTCATCAAATTCTAAGGAATTACAAAAATCAATTTTATATAATATTAAAAACAAGAGTTATTTAATCAAAAACTTCAAAAGTATTATTAGATTTTTGGTTTTTTAGTGGATTAACCAATATCAGATCACAATTTTAAATTTTTTTTACTGGATTGCATCGAAATTTTAGTTAAAATTTTTGTTTTCATTAAATTCAAAATAATACAAAAGTGTCTAGATCTATTGCTTCAACCATATATTTGAATCAAATATAAACACACTACTTAAAAATCAAATACTATAATAAAACAATTTTTGAAATACTAATAAAAGAAATTTAATTTTTTTTAAAAAAAATTTATAGATTAATCAAATTTTATTAGAATAGAAAATATTCGCGCTTTTAAAGAGCGGATTAAAATCTAGTTAATATTATATCCGGCGTAGAAATATAAAATCATTTTGACATATAATATAACAGTTAGAACAACCAAACGTTTCCATTCTTGCTTTATAATATTAGATTTTCACTTTTTGAGGTTAAGTATATTTTTGTACTTACTAAAACTTCTGTCATTTTTATAATATAAACAGAGCTGTCCTCCGTGAGATCAAATTAAACCCTCGCTTAGGGCAACCGACTTTTATAAAAAAATTAAGGGCATTTTTTTTTTAAACAACAAAAATTAAACTATGAAGAAAAATCCACCGATTTGGAGAACCAAACCAGGGGTGTGGAATCGACATAAAACACAGCTGAAGGGGAACATCGAGCACTTCGCGCAAGCTTGTCTGCCACTAGATTAGTTGCCCTTGGAATGTGTCGAATCTTGAAGGTAGAAAATAAAGTCTTACTGCGTCGAAATTCCTTCAAATGTGTAGCAAAAGCAGTCTATTCGTCAGGTGGGGACACCATCTTCACCAACTGAGAACAGTCTGTTGCAAAAACTACATCTGAATAGTTAAGGATCTTCATGCACTATATAGCCAATACCAAAGCTTCACATTTTCTCTTGTAAAACTGATAAAGTTCTTTAGAGATTCATTGCCCCATCATTTTCTCTTATGAACCCATCTTCCTATAGAACCACCCTTGTCCTGAAAATTTATCATTTTCTTTCCATGCTCAGTCAATAAAACAGACTCTCGATTGATTTGAATGCCAATCCAAGGCCTGGGGGTCCAAAATTTTCTTCTCTGAGAAAAAAATTAAGGGCATCATCCAAGATTAATCATAGGTGTAGACTAAGGGTATACAATTATTATAAGAAACATTAGTCAATGTGATGATAGCATTTAGGTAATAAGAATAAAGAAAAATTGGAAGTATGATAAAAAAATTGATTTTCTTAAATAACAAAATGAAAACAGTTGCTAATTATTACAAAATACTAAAACAGATAAAACTGTATTATTTTGAGTATTTCATAAAAAACATTGACTTATTTTATTTGTCAAAAAAAAACATTGACTGATTTTATCTCTAAATTAAACTAAAAAGAATTGTTTTGTAAAAATAGATAATAATTTTTGTAATTAATATTTTATTTATTAATTTAATTTAAATATTTATACTCTATAGTAATTGGTATTATTATTTTTAATGCAGAAGTTTTTATGAACTTTTTTCTCGCTTATGGTAGCTATAAACCTTCACACGGCTCTGACTATAAAGATTCATATATTTTATTTCACCAACTTTATTATATATCATTCCTCGTGTAGTGTTTTGGAATATTTGTCAATGTTAGAGCTGAATCCTTAGGAATACAGTACATAATTTTAAATGTTTTTAATCCGTCTGAGACATTGAACCAAACTACTTTTGGATTATCAGGTGATTATACCGACCGTAGACAAACAAAAATCAGTAAGTTTGTTATTTTAATATATAGTCGACAATATATAATTATATCTCAACTATTGAAAGTACAAAAGAAATTTTACATTAAAAATATATTGTAAAGTATTTTAATTTTAATTTTATTTCTCATACAAAATATCATTAAATAATTTTAACTACTTAATAAAATTTTAACAAGTTGGTAGTAGAATATTTGATAAGAATATAACTAAATTAAAGTTAATAAGTATTTAAATTTCCAGTGTGAAAAATGAAATAAAACGTTAAATCCAAAAAAAAAACTTTAACGCAAAATACTGTAATAGAATATTAATAACCAAAATAAGCTAGATAAATAAACAAAAATATCATAGGTTCACTCATATTTTTGTAAACATAAATTGTAGTTGATATAACATTTTTCTTCTTAGTATATATCCTCTTAAATACTGATCAATTAAACTTACTATTAGATGAAGAAACTACTTAGCTAAAATTTTGTATAGCAATTTTTTGCAAAATTAGAAGATCGTATCTTAATCTTTCTCTTCTTCATTCAAACATTTATAAATATATATTGGAATACTCTAAAATAATAATTTGATTCAAACTTAAATACATATCAAATTATCTATGGTTTCAATTAATAGGCAGGTTTTAGTGGTTTTTGCGATCTTTTTAGGGTCTTAAATAGTATCTATACAAGTAAAAGATATATCATTCTAAAAATTTCATATATATTATTTTGGGATCAATTAAAAAATAATAACCTTCTATTTTGTAAAATTTACATTTTAAACTTGCTGATGTGTTGGTTTATTGTATTTCAGTTTTGCTTACGTGACAGTGCTAGAACTGATTTGAGTATATGTTAGTCCAACTTAATTTTTCTAGAAAAAGTTATATCAATCGCATATAATTAAAGATCCTTTAAGATTATACAGTAGAATATCTATAAATTAATAGTCGATAAATTAATAATCTCTATAAATTAATAAATTTTATTGGTTCCAACTTGGATCGGTTCAAAATTTGACATAAATCGTTAAAATAATAAAATAAAAATGGGAAATTGCTAAAACTATCACATTCATGATATACTATTTCACTTTTACATTAATCACCTTTACCCTTAAATTTTTAATATGCAAAATACTATTCTACCCACAATCATTTGTCAAACCTAGATATATTTTTCTCCAAATCTCGTCTGATGATATCCCCGGCGAACTCGGCCATCTCCCGCAACTCCGGCGAACTCGGCCATCTCCCGCAACTCCGGCGAACTCAACCATCTCTGGCGAAATCGGTTATCAAATCCGATGAGACCAAACAATTTCTCTGATGAACGTGTTGAGCTCTCCGATAAAACTGAACAAGTTCGTGTTCGTAGCTTCCTTTGTGATATCTTGGCGAAGCAGGATGCGGAGGAGGAAGCTCGTGCGGCGCGGCATTCACACGGAGGAGACGGGAGGGAAGAGGAGAGAGATTGAGCTTGTGGTTGGAGGGGGAGAGGATGAGGATGAGGATGAGGAGAAGTCGCCGGAGCCGCCACGTGTCACCGATCATACCACGACACCTCCTCTTTCGCTTCTTCACTCTTCTTCCGTCTTACCTCTTCTGTCTTCGTGGTCACTCTGTTATCGACCTCGATCGCTTTAGCTCTCTCTCTCTCTCTCTCTCTTTGAACTTACCAGCGAAAATATGGGTGAAGGAGCTCGAGTTTTAGTTACGGAGAGCAGCGAAGAGAACGTGACGAGAAGAAACGATGACTCGGTAGTAGATTTATACCCGCTTAGCAGCTACTACTTCCGTTCTCGAGATGCTGTTTGCGTCAAGGATGAGATGATCTCTGAACGTGTACTCAGATAGAAATCCAAGTAATTCAAGTAATTTTGATCATATGGGTTTATGGTTTTGTGTTAACTTGTATCTAAGGATTTTACTTTCTTTTTTTTTATCACTTTGCAGTTACGCTGCTCATGGATTGAGGACTTGCGTTGAAGCTGTTCTTTTGGTAAAAAAAAAATGTGATTGATAGCAAAATTATTGGTTTTGCAGAAGTTTTAGTAACATGTGATGTTTGGGATACATCAGGTTGACCTGTTCAAGCATCCACATGTTTTGCTTCTTCAGTATATAAACTCCATCTTCAAGCTCCCTTGTGGTCGTTTGAGACCTGGTGAATCAGGTTTTACTTTTACTCTTTTTTAACTTCTTTACCTGTGCTCAAATCTTCAAATGCTGAGATCAGACTTCTTCTTAGATATAGAGGTCTTAAACGCAAACTCGCATCAAAGCTTTCGGTTAACGAGAATGTTCTTGTTCCGGGTTTGGAGGTAAGGAGACTGGACTCTTTGTCTTTGGTGTTTTTTTGTTCTGGTTGTTTTCTAGCTAAACGAATGGTCTCTCTCTCTGTGTACACAAATGTTTGAAGGTAGGAGAATGCATTGGGATGTGGTGGAGACCAAACTTTGAGACATTGATGTATCCATTCTTGCCTCCCAATGTGAAACACCCAAAGGTAAGTCCAGCTCCCACTTCCATGCTAGTAAATGTTGACACTTGTGAATGCGTATACATAAAGCCCTGCTCTGTCCTCTTATCTGTTTTGTTCAGGAATGCACAAAGATTTTTCTTGCGAGACTAGCGGTACATCAACAGTTTGTCGTGCCTAAAAATTTCAAACTCCTCGCTGTTCCCTTGTGCCAAATCCATGAGAATGAAAAGGTAAAAAAAAACTTAATAAAATCAATCAATCAAAGCCGCCTTTTGCTTTCATTATATTCAGTATATGCATTATCGATAAGTTGTTGTTTGGTTCTTCATATGGTGCAGACTTATGGGCCGATCATAGCTTCTTTCAAAGTTCTCATTCAACATGATGGAGATATGATGAACAACCCTTGTGATCCTTGCCTTCACTAGCTCGTTCCCTCGCATCTACCATAGATGTTTGGTGAAATCTTTTTAGTGTGTGATTATATTAGTGTACTTACTGAAGTGGTAAAAGTTTGTTATTGTTGATTAGAGAGTGGTTGATTACATCAAATGTGTATAGTATATAGACTTATTATTCAACACGATATTTTCTTAACGTGTGTGCTTGGGTATATTGCAAATGTAATTGAATTAATACATGTGTAAAAAAAATAGAGACATCTATGCTTATATTTATTTTCTTGTAAATGAAGTAATGTGAAGACAGATAAATAAAGATGTTTTTTTTTTTTGCGTTTTGTACTGCGGTGCGGTTTTGAGCTGCGTTCGGAAAGACCGGTTAAAAAATAAAGTGAATATGGAAAGTTATGGAAGTCGTTGGTCAACGTTGAGAACATGAGATTGACTGATCTTTTCTTTCTCATTTCCATTGTGCTGCTGACTAGTCTCCATGATTACGCATAAAAGTTTGTATTACTTTTTTATAAATGACTTTTAGTCGAGAAAATTAAAAAAAAAGGAAAGAGAGAAGAGAAGAAGAAGAGAAACACATTATTATTTACTACAATCCTTGATCAACTTTTAATTCACTTCCTCCATCTTGCTGCCTTCGGCGTCAGCGTCATCTTCAAGAGGAGGCATCTCTGCATCAGCTTCAGCAGAGTCGTCTTCATCAATGCTCAATCCAAGCTTTAACATCCTGTGGATCCTGTTCCCGAAGGTGTTGGGCTCGTCCAAGCTGAAGCCAGAGGTGAGAAGGGCAGTTTCAAAGAAAAACCTGTTCATGAGTAAGGCGACACTTTTTGTCGGGTGTTTACACCAATACACACACTTAACAATTCAAAACATCACCAAACTGATCCTTCTGATATAGTTTCTAGCAGAATATATATTTCTCTAACAGTTCAAGAAGACCCTCTACACTATTTATAAACTTTTTTTTATAAATTCTTATAAATTCTTTATAACTTCTTATAAACCTTTTATATAAACTTTTTTTTTTTGATAAAATATCAATTTTATTGATCAGCTTTGATAATGGACTTTACATAGACATGTTTGAATGATCAAAATTATAAAGAATCAAAGAATGAATTTTCTAGCATGCTGTAACGCCGAACCATCTTCTTAGCAGGCCCTCCAACTTGTGAGTTCCCTTATACTTCAAAGAGGCAATACGATTCTTCACTACTCTCCCAATAATCTTAGCAGTCTTTTCTTCTGGTATACACACTCCTCCATGTCTCCTTGAGTTCCTTTCTTTCCACAACACATAGATAGATGTTTGGAACACTAGCCAAAGAAGGACAGTGACGAGGCGACTCCGATTCGTCCTCAGTAGTGAGGAGATTGTGTCGTTCCAGTCAGGCGTGATTTCATCTCCAAGTAACCCTGCGGCTACATTCATCCAAACCGTGAAAGTGTATGGGCACGCAAAAAAAAAGATGATCCCTACTTTCATCCCTTTCTCCACAATAATTGCAGCATTGCTCCATTCCCCATTCTCTCATTCTAGTACCAGTAGATAATCTGTTTTTAAACGCGAGCCATACCATGAAAGATTGTCTAGGAATGGCCTGAGGGAACCACACTATTTTGTACCAAGGGGGCTTGGCTGTGTGAACTCGCAAGTGATCTCAGGTCTTGGGAGCTGAGAAAGTCGGCTTAAAATCATCCTGATCATGTCGCCATAGCACAATGTCTGACCCCGCGTCAGAATCCGGACCACTGATCTCTGCGAGTTTGTCACAGAGGTGGGGGTAACGTCTCTGAGCGCTTCTCCTAATATTCCATCTGTCATTACGATACACCTCCGCAAGAGTAGCAGATCTGTGTATCCCAAGATATCGGATGCCTAACTCTCCTGTGACATCCAGCAACTTGCCATATTTCATCCAGTTATCAAACCAGAAATAGATGGATTTACCATTCCTTACCTCAAAACGAATGCACTCATATGCTATGGGACGAAGTTTTAGTAGCTTTCGCCAGATCCACGGCCCCTTAATCTCATTAGAATCCCAGTAGGAACTGCTCTTGAGTAAGTATTTGCGAGTCCAAGAAACCCAAAGTGAACCTGATAGGGTGAACAATTTCCAGATAAGACTCAAAGCAAATACTTTGGAGGTGTTCCTAAGTTGCCGTATACCCAATCCACCCTCGTCCTTGGGATAGAAAAGATCACTCCATGCTACCTTAGATTTAAAAGAGATTGTCGGGGAACCTGACCATAAGAATGCACTGCACATACTCTCAATAGTGTCGAGACAAGCCTGAGGTAAAATAAACTCAGAACTCCAGAAGTTGATATTACTAGTGATCGCAGACTTGATCAATTGTAGCCGACCAGCAAACGATAAGGCTCGGTGTGTCCAAGATAGGAATTTGTTGCGGATCTGATCAATGAGAGGCTCGTATTCAAGTTTACTCCAAGCTTTAGACGTGAGAGGCATACCCAGATAACGCACCGGAAGAGACCCTGTTACGAACCCTCTACTCTGAGCCGCATGAAGTAAATGATGCTGAGTTTTCCCAGCAGAAAATATAGAGGACTTAGCTACATTTATTTGTAAGCCTGAGAGAGCTGTAAAATTTTTCATTACGTCCAGTACCCCATCAAGTGAACGCACACTATCATCTGTGAAGACTAATATATCACAGCAAAACTGAGATGGGTGAGTTGAACATGTTGACACTGCGGGTGGTAGCCAATAAGGCCATCAGCGGCTGCTTGATTCAACATACCCGAGAGAGCATTGTTAACAGTCACATACAGATATGGAGAGAGCGAGCAACCTTGTCTGATCCCCCGGGCACTAGTAAAGAAACCTTCCAACTCTCCATTCACTACAACCGAAAAAGAAGCTGTGGAGATGCAAAGATAGATCCACTGAATAAATTGGCTAGGAAAACCCATTGCTTGAAGCACTGCAGTAATGAAACTCCATTTAACAGTGTCAAAAGCTTTGGAAATATCCAGCTTGATGGTGCTACGATCAGTGATATTGGGGAGATGATAACCTTTCACCAGCTCTGTGGCCATTAACACATTCTCCAATAATACTCTCCCTTTGATGAAAGCACTCTGGTTTGGCTCAATAGCTGCAGAAGTATCTCTTTGAGGCAGTTTGCTAGAATCTTAGAGATTACCTTATAGAGGAGATTGCAACATGATATAGGCCGATAGTCCTTCATAGCCTGAGCTGGGATCTTCTTGGGTATTAAAGCCAAAATGGTGGAATTTACACCAGTGGGGAGAAAGCCATAAAGAAAAAATGACTGAATCACCGTGATAAAGTCCCTTCCCACCACAAGCCAAGCTTCGATGAAGAACTCCTTAGTGAATCTATCAGGATCTGGAACTTTTTTATTTGGGAGTGATTTTAAGGCTTGAAGGATCTCTTGAGGGGTCACAGGGGATATCAGACCTATTTTTTTCTGAGGAGAGCGTCGATAACTCAGTGAAGCTTGTAGAGCATTCACTGAAATAGGAGAGCTTCTAGTCGGTTCCGTTTGGAGAAACTTTTGAAAGTGATTGACAGCTTCTTTCCTGATCGCTGATGGCTCCGTTAATACCTCACCATCCTCGGAATATAGCACGTTTATATTATTCCTGGCTGAGTGATCCTGGACAGCATGATGGTATAAAGTGGTGTTTTGATCTCCTAAAGCTAGCCATTGGATTCTTGATTTTTGCATTAGAAATTTTTCCTCCACTAGTGCTAAGTGATGCCACCGTTGCGAAGCTTCCTCCTCAGCGGAAAATGTGGTAAGACTAGGATCAGCTAACACTTTTTCTTGACAACGACACAAATGTTCGTACGCTTGCTTCGTTCGGCTGTGGAGATCTCCATAGTGAGTTTTATTCAACCCCCGCAAAGCACACTTCAGTGACTTTAGCTTCTGGTGGAACATGCTTAAATCTGATCGAGAATGAAATATAGTTCCTGTAATCTCCCATTTGCTCTGAATAGTAGACAAGAAGTCTCCATGCTCAGCCAAATAGTTAAAAAAAAATTAAACGGCTTATGCTCCCCAACAGACTGTTGCTTCAAACGAACCACTCACCTGGCATGATCAGATACACCCCCTGTTTCAAATGAAGCAAATGACTGAGGATATACTCGAAGCCAGTCCCCATTTATGAGAGCTCTGTCCAACTTTTTACCTATCGGGTCAGCACCCCTTTTGTTCCACCACGTAAATAAAGCTCTAACGTAGGCCAGATCCGTAAGTGTAGTATCAGTGACCAGCTCCTGAAACTTCGTCATACCTGATTGGTCTCCTAAATAATCTTGAGCTCGAGAATGCTCTGTAGAGGACAGTGTAGTATTATAGTCCCCAATAAGTATCCACGGCATTGCAAGATGGTGATAGGCCTGTTGAGTTGCTCTGATGTCAGCCCATAATTGCCTCCTCTCCGCAGTGAAATTTGATGCATAAATAGCAGAACATATAAACTGATCTCCCTTCTCCGTTTGAACGGCACACGAGATGATTTGTGCACTTTTGTGAAAAAAGTTATAGTCACCCCAGGACCCCAACAAAACCAGATACGACCAAGGCGGTGATGATCATAATTCATTATGGAAGACCAACCAGGTAACGCCGCTTTAACAATTTCCAGACACTTACTCTCTTGTACTCTTGTTTCTAACATACAGCCAAATAAAGGCTTCTTGTCTTGAATCCATTTCCTCAACACCCAATGTTTACGTGGCTTATTGAACCCACGCATGTTCCAAGAATAAAAAGACGTCATATCTTCCTTACGGAAGATTTTTTGTGCTGAACCTTCATACTTAACGCCTTCAAATCCAATGCTCTTCCCATTTGATAAGTCTTCCTGACTTGCTTAGCTTGATTCCCTCCCTTCTTGTCATTGACCTTAGGTCTTATTTCCTCTTCCTCGAACACTTCTACAACCTCATCCTCCAAGGTTTCTTCCGTCCCTTCAAGCTCCTCGTCCTCCATGAGCGGTTGATAACGAGATGGCGAGATGATCACCTTCTCAGTCCCTGAGACATACTCTGATCCTTTGCTCTTAGTAGGCGAAACTGACTTCAGGGATTTATCAAAATTCTCCTGAGGTAACGAGGATTTAAATGTCTTGGTAGCTATTGACCAGCCAGTGGGATCTGTAGACTCCAGCTCCTGCTCTGTGCCACTTTCAAAATGTTCTTCTCCTTGAGGTATAAGTACTTCAGGACTAGAACCGAATGTTTTCCCTGCAAGTTCTTTAGTAACTTCAAATGCAGTTCGAACGGGTAGAGATTCTATCTCCTGAAGCAAGTTATCCACCACATCCCTAGCATTGCTCTGGTCACTCCCACCATCAGCGTCCAGAGCTATACTCAACGCATTGATCTCCTTCGCTACAACCAACTCATTAGACTCCTTCGCATTAAACTCCTTCTCCTTAGTCTGAATTATCACATCTTTGGAAATACACTCCTTGGTTTTATGACCCCATTTAGAACAGATGCTACACCTCGCTGGGAGCCACGGATAGGATACTGTAACCTTAACCTGACTACCATCCTGGTCATCAAACTTGAGAGTTTCAACCAAAGGGTTGTATAAATTAACCTCAACAAGAACACTTGTTACGTCCAATCTTGTGCATCTTTCCGTCTGCGGATGGAGCTTCACAAAGTTTCCTACTGGCTTGGAGAGGGCTCTAAGGCCCACTTGCGAGAATAGATGGCTAGGAACTGACTCCAAATCCACCCAGAGAGGCATTGCAGACAGGTTTGGGGGTGCTGCAGCCGTTTCTTGTGACCACTCCTGAAGCACCAACGGACATCGGAGATATGCCAATATCGTCGTTTCACAACCCGGTTCCGTAATGCCTCATTCTCTATCCGAAGGATAGTATCCAACATCGAAACAACTTCAACTATATGATTGCCTTTGTTCAACATCACACAGCTCGCCCTGCAAAAATATCCAAACTCCATAGTTAGACAAAGAAATGTTTAGCAGGATCATGTTTACTTTTGGTGAATTTTTTTTTACTTTCTACCATTTGCAACATATGTGATCTCAGCTCGAGTTGGAAGACCATTGACAAGCAATTCAAATATGTAACCTGCTTTGTAGCTCCCATAAGTTTTGTTTTCAAGTCATCACAAAATGTTAAAAATGTTTATAATTGTTTATAAGAATTTAAAAGGGTTTACAAAATTACTTACATAGGCTTATAAAGATTTTATATAGAATTTATAAGGGTTTATAAAGTTTATAAAGGGTTTAAATAATTTTATAAGTTTATATAAGATTTGTTAGGGTTTATAAAGGGTTTTGAAGAGTTTCTATAGGGTTTATAAATTTTTTTTTTATAAAACCATATAAATATTTATATGATTATTTATAAAGGTTTATAAAACCATTTATAATTTTTTAAGAGCTTATAAAACCTTGTGTCAACCATCTATAAAGTTTATAAAACACATAAATATTTATATAACTATTTATAAAGGGTTATAAAACTATTTAAAAGGGTGTATAAAACTATTTTCAAGAACTTATAAGCTATTTATAAGAGTTTATACATTTATTTATAAATGTTTATAAATAATTTATAAGGTTTATAAATCTATTTATAAGAGTTTATAAATCACCAAATTAACCAAATTTCCACCATTTCTTTGCTTATTTTAAGAACATCATTCTTTTACAGTTCATTTTATCTACTCTATTAGAATAGAGTCCTAAATTTTATCTACTTAAAAAATTGTCATTAATTTTTGGACTATGTCATTGTGTTAACTACGATGGACCATTTCAATATATAATTTGACGCTACATAGTAAATACAATAAGGCAACTTAAATTAAACCAAACATCTAATCCATTAAACCTAAACCGATCTCTTAAAGGAAAATTAAATCTACTCTATTAAACCGAAGTGTTTCTACTATTAGCTTAACATTACAAAAACTCTAATTAAACTTCATGGTAGTTTAGATGATCGTCTTTGCTTCTCTCCTGTTCATAAACTGCAACATAACAAATTATTTTGTATTGTATCTTTCTCCATCTTTCATCAACGTATTGGACCTGGTTGTAATAAAGCACAACCGAAGTAGCAACAGTGCTATCAGAAAACACACAAAAATTGTAAAACTGAGCATAGCTTCTCTCTGCGAGCTGAGTATTAAAATATTTTAAATGATTTAAAACTCTTATACATAATTTATAAGCCTTTATAAAATTTTATAGCTAATTTATAAATCTTTATGCTCCGAAGCACCGATGCACTGCGGAAACTTCTTGAACGCTACGAGGATCACTTCTTACACTAGTCCACACTTTTTGAACGTTTCGAATGTTTGAATTATCTTCTTCTCAGAGTTGGTCATGAAAGTAGGCCACTTCTTGAACATCTCCCATACTTCTTGTGCACTCAACCCTAACCTTTTGTACACGTAACTTTCTCTTGAATCGTCTCCTCACTTATCGGGAAAACCATGCGTAGAGCTTGGACGAACTTTGGGGTTGTGGGATCAAAACCCACCTTAAAAACCTTCTTGAGAGACTCTTGGAATCTAACTTTGCTGTAGATGGCTCCGTTCTCGGAGATGAGTAAAGGGAATAAGAGTTTATAAAACCATTTAAATTTATAAAATCTTTTATAAATTTACAAACCATTTACAAGACTTCATAAATCATAATATAAGGTTAATAAGAACCTATAAGAGTTTATAAACCATTCATAAAGGTTTATAAGGGTTTTAAAAATGTTTATAAGGGTTTATAAGAATTTAAAAAGGGTTTACAAACCATTTATATGTGTTTATAAAGATTTTATATAGAATCTATAAGGTTTTATAAATAATTATAAGGTCTTATATAGGTTTATAAGGGTTTATATGTTTATAAAAGTTTATATAAGATTTATAAGGCTTTATAAAATGTTTATAATGGGGTATGGAGAGTTTATATAAAGACCAATCATTTAGCAGAGACCTAATGAGTGATGGCGACAAAGACGGCGATTCCCCACGACGACGTGCGCGAAATCCATGGAAATCGACGAGACCGGATCCGGCGTTTGCAGTGGAGAATGGAGTGGCCTCTCTGGACCTCCCAGTGGAAGTGTTTGAGGATTCGGAACCTCTCTGGAAAGCTTTTGCGGTTGGATACTTCATCGGTGAAGCGCCTCATGTAGGCTTGATTCACGCTACAGTCAATAGGATTTGGACTGCTTCAGATTTCAAGGGGAAGACTGATGTGCAGTTCATTGCTAAGGACACTGTTCTGTTTTTTTTCTCTCATTGGGGGGAATTAATACACGTGGCACTCTTTTTCAATGGACCTTCAGTGTTTTTTGGGAATTTTTATTATGTTTGTTCCTCCAATTGTGAAGGCCCGATTAATTGCTTATGAATAATACATTGAAGGGATAAAAGCCTACTTCGTTCAAGACAACCCCATCGTTGGACTCTACCACCTCAAGAAATCATCAGATCATCAGAAGGTTTGTATGATAATGGAACTTACCTGTACGGTATACTCATGTTTTGCACAGGGAACATGGCTGAAGGTAGGATGAGTCTAGACTCACTTGGTTGGAAGACCAACAAGCGCCGTGGAGATCGCTGTTGGAGGGAGAACATGATAGCACTGGGGAACATCATAATTGAGATGAAGCCAGAATATTCTGCAAATCTCTACAACAACCAACCACCAAAGAGCTGCCATGTGAACGAGATGGATAACCGGTGTCCAAAGTGCTATCACTACAAGCAGGCTCGCAAGTTCATCCTCTATATCCAGTAAACATGAAGCCGTAAAACAGAGTCAAGTATTTGCAGAGAAGACGTTTTAAGCTTTCCCTAAAACAAGCTCGCAATTTTAATATATTATTATTCTCAATGTTTTCCTACTTTATGTGTTTCCGGATTTAATAAAAACATTTCCTTTTCGTTAGTAACCACAAATCCATTGGTGGAAATATGCTTTTCGTTTTAAATTTGGCTAAACCAAAAAGGGAAACCATACAAAAATACAATATCAGCTACACGGGCGTAATTACGGAATCTCCAAATAAAAGCTTACGCAACATATGGAAAGTGGATACTAATATCAACCAAATATATGGTGTGGGAAAAAATCATCTAAGCCATTGCCTTGCTTCTTCCACTAACAATCGTAAAGTATACAACTTACTCAAGGTTTTTGTAGTGACCCAAACCCACTTTTTCATTCATTTTCGGCCCAGACCCAAGGCCCATTCGATTCAGCCCAAAGTACTGACTATAAAATCCATTTCACCACCTTGTTTTCTCAGAACTTCATGGAATAGAGAGAGTTTGGAGAGAGAGAGTTTAGAGAGAGTTTGAGAAAGAGTGTTTGGTTTTGTAGAGAGAGAGTCGCCTGAGCTCGTCACCGGAGACACCACGACCAGAGTACCCGTCCAGCTCATCACCACCGACACCCAGCCTAGGTAACCAACGGAAACCGCCACGTTTTTTAGTTAAGTTTTGATCCGTTTAGTAAATCGACCATAACTTTCTAACCGTTGAGAATATCGTGAATGCAAGGGTACCATCGTGTTCTAATCGTCGAGACGAAGCCGTAGACCCCGAAAACGCCGTGATCGGAGCTCGAAGCCGCCGTCACGCGCCCCCGCAATCTTCCCCTTCGCGCGCGCGTGTGAGCCACGCGCCGCCGCCTCGCCGGAGCCGCCGTCCGTCCGCCGCCGGGAAGCCGCCGCCGCTCCTCCGCCGCGCCGCCCCCGCCGGTAAGCCGCCGCCCCTTCTCGCCGGCCGGTGACCGGAGTCCGGTGACTCGCCGGTGACTCGGTCAACTCGGCCGAGTTGACTCGGCGAGTCAACCGTTGACTCGGTCAACCGGTTAGGTTTGGTCAATGTTGGTTTAATCTTGGTTAGTGTTTGGTTAGTTAAACCGGCGGTTAAAATTAATTGGAAATCGGTTAGGGTAAACCGGTTTATTTAATTAATTGATTTTCGGTTAAGGTTAAACCGAATTGAAATCGGATTAGTCTGGTTCAATTGAAATCGAATCCGGTTAAGGGAAACCGGTTGGTCCAATTCGATTTCAATTTGGTCAAGGGTTGACCGGCTTGGGTCAGAGTTGACCGGGTTGACCTTTGACATGCGAGTTGACTTTTCCGAAATTTCCCGTTTTCGCCCGTTCGAAGGTCATTCTGACTCGGAATTTCGATCTGATTTCAGATTTGGGATCTATTTGAGCAGCTGGAGTTCATAGAGACTACTTTTCCCCAGTTTCTAAGGTGAGGGTCTACTTCCGAACGATTCGTACGCGACTTAGAATTTTAAATAAATATAATTTATTTGTATTGTGTTCCGTCTGCGTGAAATCGAGTCTGTCATTGCTTGATTAGTTTTAGGTTGCTTGCTTAAACCGGAACTAGGTGGTTAGAGGATTCAACATTGATTGCTTCACTTAATGTAATGATTAGCTAGAATTGTTTGGCCGGGTACAGAGACGGACTTCTGTATGCCGGATTGTATGAGGGTTACAGCCAGCTTTAGTCGACCGGTTGGACCGTAACTTGGCGTCGATAAATCATCTACGGGCGGTGTTTCAGAGCACTATCTCGGCTGTGTTGTTGTTGTACCCCAGTGTGGGCTGTGTGATTTTTGGCCCGTTAGTGGGCGGCGAGTGCGCGCCTCGCTAGGACCATTGTTTGCTTGCTTGGGTGCTTTAGGTGCCATGCTTGTACATTTTAGATTGAAATTATATTTATTTGGAGTGCTATGTCCGGGCCTACGGACTTCGGGGTAGCATCCCATACCTCACTGAGCGACTCCCCTGTTGCTCACCCCTCTTTCTTCCCCTTGCAGGTGAGACCGATCAGCAGGAGTGACCATATCGGACCGGTGCTATTGGGCTTTTGGGCTTCTATCTTATCATATCGTATTTTACCGTATTTTATCGTTACTGGGCCTATGAGCCTTTGGACTTTTATCGCTTATGTTATTTCATATTTCGGACTTATGTTTTAAGTTGATGGTTTTATTACGGATGTTGTGTATTGGGCCTTGGGCCGTTTTATGTATTGGACTTATGTGGAAAGTAATGAGTTAACTTTTAAGTATTATTATTAAATCTGCTGTTTTCAGTAATTATTACTTATTATATTATTTTCGAGAAAGTAATTATTACTTATTATATTAGTTCAGGTTCCACCGGTTCAAGTTCCGCCAGTTTAGGTTCCGCCAGTTCAGGTTCCCGCTCAGCAGGTTCCCTTTTCTCAAGTTCCATTGCAGCATGCCCCAGCATACACTACAAGAAATGTGGGTTTTAATAGCATCGTATGATAGCGGTTTTTTCAGTCATGCTATTGTATATCAAGACTTGCCTTTTGTATAGCGTTTGTCTTTCTGAAACGCTATTTTCGTTATCGCGGGAAAATAAAAATGTTTAGCCGCGTTAAATATATTAGTGTAGGCGGCTTACCATTGCAAAAGTAAATATAAACGCTATTTTAAATATATATATCTAAGATTATAATATATAAGTCCACTAGTCGATAGAAATTCATCTCTTTCTTCACTTCTCTAAAATCTAATTCTTAGCTAAAGAAACCCTTCTCCACTGTTTCTCTAAGTAATCGAAGCTTGAAAAGGTATGTTCTCCTTCAATCTTAGCTTCTTTGTTCTTTTCTCATCTATATCGGTTCTTCAATACCATCATTGGAGTCGAAAAAGTTTTTGATTTGGGGTTTTGATTCTTGGTTTGTGTGAACATGCATGTGCAAGATTGTGATTTTGGGTTTGGATTTAGTCTATTTTGGGTTTCGATTCTTAGTTTTCGCGAACATTCATGTGCAATTTTGTGATTTTGGGTTTCGATTAAGACTATTCTGGGAAGTTTGTGCTTTTGTGTTTCGATTTACACTCTTTTGTGTTTCGATTTACACTCTTTTGTGTTTCGATCTAATGTATTTTGTTTGGAACTTCTCAGAAATGCCGCCGAAGACAAGAGGAGGAGGACAAGTGGGTTCTCGTCGTAGTAAACGTAATCAAGGCTTGGAGGTTGAAAAGACATTGGCTTCCCCTAAGAAGACAGTGGCTTCCCCGAAGAAGAGAGTGGCTTCC